GACGACCGGGGCGGCCGAAGATCCGGTCGCCGCCCCCCAAATGTTAGCACCCTGGGCGACTGCCTAGGTCACCTAATGGGTTGCGCCGGCCCTGAGTAGCACCCCCTGCTTTGAAGTGCTTTCCATCATTTATAGGGTTTGCAGTTTGGTTCAAAGGCTCTCCGCACCCCCACTATATAAATTGTTCCAGCATCCCTGCCTGCCACCCATCTTTGTTTGGTTTCTCTTGGGTTAACGGCATGAAAATATAGAAATGGGGGGGGGGAGAGTGTTTTTGTTGTTTTTGTTCAAAAAATTATATCCTAATAGGATGATTTGAGCTGTGTGGTAGGTAGTCCAATGTTTAACCCCCATTCATGGGCGTTAATAAAGAATAGACTGTATTATGGACTGTCTTTTAAAATAGCTGTCATCAGGATTGCAACTGTTATTAATTCATAACTTGAAAATATGTCCTATTTGTGAACTCATAACTGCATATAGTGGAATGGTTTGTTTGAAAAAAGGACTGTTATTAAAAAACGACACACAGATACTTATTCAAAAAGCTTCAAAGAGAAGAGATTAAATTAGCTATTTACAGTATACATTAATTCTTAGTAGCATTAATTTAATTTCTTGGAATTTTGGTAAACACACTCCATCCATATTAACTTAGTTTCTCTTTTTCCCTAAAGTAGACTATTTGGCTTATGCCTCTGTATAGTATCATATTTTCATATTAGAGGGGGGGAAATCCCAAGAAGTTAAATCATGAGATTACCAGAGGCACCTGATTTTGATTTGTGCTGAAAAATGGCAAAACTATTTCATTACCTATGTAAAAGAGCTCTATAATTATGTTAAAATTTTGTCAGTCTCTTACAATAAAAACAAACCTTAGACCAAGAACTTCCAGAACTAAGAACTTTGTTACAGATTCAGAATAATTCACTATGCGTAGCCTTTGAATCTGGCTTTTCTACACTAAAAACACAATAGTGTTTTGTAAATAGATTGACACAATCACCTGACCCATTTACAACAAAATGAAAGTTCAGTCTCTAACAGTCCGTGCACCATGTGAGTGCATTGGCAGCCATCCCATTTTGTCTAAGGGTACGTCTATACTTACTTCCTGGTCCGGATGTAAGCGATCGATCTTCTGGGATCGATCCCGGAAGTGCTTGAGGAGTACGCTCAGCGAGAGGAGTACGCGGCATCGACGGGGGAGCCTGCCTGCAGCGTCTGGACCCGCGGTAAGTTCGAACTAAGGTACTTCGAATTCAGCTACGTTATTAACGTAGCTGAATTTGCGTACCTTAGTTCGAAGTGGGGGGTTAGTATGGACCAGGCCTAAGTAGGGCATAGTTCATGGAAAACAGGCACATGCAATGCATCACCAGCAGTAATGGGATAATGTTGTCAAAGATGCCCTGCTGCACTGAGAGCTGGTGGGAAGGAGGACTGGTTAATCAGTTACACTTAAGAGGTCTTGTATGCACTATGCAAAAGTGTACCAAACAGGTTATGTGAAGACTGATATAGTGCCAGTGTGACTGGAGGCCAGCTATCGTCACTCAGTTAGGGTGAACTGCAAAGAATGGGGCAGCCAAACCCCAAAAAGCTGGCAGATATTCCAATACTTAGATTTACCAAGCCAGCATAAAACAACTTCTTTATTACTTTACTGGTTACTGAGAAGTCCAAACAACATGGTTGCCTTAAGGTGATCCAGCCTCAGGCCTCCATCCAGGTACCCATGTCAAATATGATGAAAATTTCTGTCAGTCTTGTTTCATCATATAAAAGAAAAAGTTCTACCAATCCCAAAGGATTAGACACATTACCTCCCACATTATTGAATATTTCAGATCTTACCCAAATACACGCTACAGCCAATTCTTATTAACTAAACTAAAATCTACTAAAAAACAAGAGAGAGAATATGGTTAAAAGATCAATATACATACAGACATGAGTTCAATCCATTAAGGTTCAGCTTCATAGCAGAGATGGTGAGTTTTGTAGTTGCAAAGAGTTCCTTTAGAATTCAGTTCATAGGTCATAATCCAGTGTCCAAATGTCATATTCAGGGCGTACCAGCATAACTGGGACCTCAGTCTTGCAACTCAAACTTCCCCTGATGAAGCCTAAGCAGATCTGAGATGACAGAATCAGGACGCAAGGGACTTTTTTTTTTTTTTATACAGTGTCCTAGTATCCACTTGACCACACAGTCCTGGTTAAACAATAGGCTTTTGATGTAACCTTTTGCTTTCTAAACACCACCAATAATTAATTACACAAATTAACATAGGGCAATTTATCCATTAGGCAATCTTTTACAAACTTCAAAGAGACATATAGACAATGACATGATTTTACCCAAGATTCATCCAAATGTTAATATTCCCTTTTGATCTCTGAATCAGTAGTTATAGTGACAGACAGGAACTGTCTGTTTAAGGGTAGCATCTAAGATACACACAATTAGTATTACTTTTAACAATATAGGTTTGCATTTCAAAGTTCTAGCCTATTTAGCATGAATGGCCCTAATTATCATTCGCATACCTTTCTAACATGACTTTAAAGATGGGCTTTGGGTCATTCAGCCTGCAAGCTGTTTAACCCCTTCTAGCCATGTGTCACAGCCAGCCAAGGTCTCTGCTAAAGAAGAAACTCTGTTAGCTGCCATTTTTACTCACCAGGTATTCTACATGTGGTATGGAGACACACAGAATGTTTAGAGCCAACCATGACAATTACTGTTTGCAAATGTGCTTAAACATTGTAGTGTGGAGAAGATATTGGTGTTTTGAACGGTAAAATTGCTCTTACTTTTGAGAATCCCTAAGTCTTTCATTGACTTTTCAGTGGGAGTTAGATTGGGCCCCATATGTATGGCCCTACCAAATTCGCAGTCCATTTTGGTCAATTTAATGGTCACAGATTTTTAAAAATTGTAAATTTCATTATTTCAGACCTTATATCTGAAATTTCACAGTGTTGTAATTGTAGGGGTCCTGACCCAAAAAAGAGTTGTGGAGGGATTGCAATGTTATTGTAGGGGGGTTGCAATACAGCTATCCTTAACTTCTGCGCTGTTGCTGGTGGCAACGCTGCTGCCAGCAGAGCTGGGCAGCCAGAGAGCAGCGGCTGCTGAGCCCAGCCCAGCCCAACCCCCCCACCCTCTTTTGGGTTAGGACCCCCAGTTGGTGAAATGCTGGTCTCTCCTGTGAAATCTGTATAGTGTAGGGTGAAAGCACACAAATGACCAAATTTTATGAGGGAAGACCAGATTTCATGGTCCATGACTCGTTTTTCATGGCCATGAAATCCCATATGCAATGCAACTGCCAGGTACAGCAGAAGTGAAGAAAAAATATATTTTTTTAAACTAATCACTGGACTATTCCCATGGCTATAATAAGTGATTATCCTTGCTTTTGTGGCTAGGTTCTTAATATTTTAATATATTTATCAAATCATGTTCAGTGACTACATATAAATCCATGATTTTCCACAGACAAAAAGTTAAACGTTGCCAAGTTGAAATTCTGTTTTCTAAGCTACAATAAATAAATTTAAAAAAAGAGAAAAAAAGTCCTTGTGACATATCACATTTTTATGCATCAGTCCTGATTATTTCAATTTAAAATGCATACGGATTAATACAGCTTTAAAATTCAAATAAGGCAAATTATCATTTTAAGGCCTTCCATTTATGTACACTGAGTAAAATTGTCATTATGGTATCATTATACTAACATAATAAATGAAGCTACTAGAATGGCTTAGGAGCTAGACTGCATCTTAGTTTAACTGGGATGTTTAATTAGATTGTCATCTTTGCTGGTATTTTTAAATAAATATTTTTAAAGCTCTAATTGTAAGAACCATTGATTATTAAAAGTTAACCATAGACTATCTTTTTGTGAGTCACGTTTTCAGAAGGTCATCAATTCATAAGTCTTAAATGCTTGATAGACATTTTTAAGGGTCTAGAAAGATAGAGTAAAATATTGTAGCTTTCAGGGTTTTTTTTTTTAAAAGGGATTCTTTAATAGAAAAGGACACTTATCCTTAATGTGGCTTTTAAATTTTCATATAACACATTCCATCTGCTTCTTCAGGATGATATCAGGGAAAGGCGTTAATTTAACAGTAACACTTTGAGGTTTCTTACTATAGAAACAACTCTGTTCTACCCTGAATAGTGACAACACTTGAGCACAGTCATGGAGCTCCTTTACATAAGTAGTGAAATAGTTTTGCCATTTTAAATTTAAAATAGTAAATGGACAAAGGAAAAAATAACAAAATGGGCCATCAGATTGCTGAAAGGTGATTGTGTTTAAAAAGGTCGTTGTCATTCTTTCCAAAATTCTTTCCCCACTTCCCTTCCCCCTTCCCTCCTCCTGTTTTCCTTCTCTGGAAATCTTCCCAAAATACCTCCAATCAAAAGTATAGATTCTTCTGTAAGCAGTAATGTTCTGATGGAAATTTTTTTTTAATTTTTTTTGACTAATCACTGGAGAACTAAATTTGATGCCAGAGAAGTTAGAAAAACATTGTTTAGCAAATGATAAAAGGTTCTGTGTTATGTTTTCTTCAGTTTTGAGACTTATTTAGCTCTCTTCCCTAACTAGTCTCTTGTAATAGCTAGCTCTCTTTAACTCGTCACTTGTACACATGTGGTTTTCTAGCACTTCTATGTGTACATCTTTTTTATTTTATGTTTTTGTTTAGGTATGTGTATACATGCACAGGCATTAGTATACCAAAAGTATGTATTTTCACACAGTTGTACTTGTACAAGTAGAGGCCCAAGGCTGAAAACAGGCTCCTTTTTTTTTTTTTTTTTTTTTTTAAACATTGTTTTGATCCATTTATTTATGCATTCGAAAACCACTGGACTACTAAATAAACTAATTTACATATATTATATGTAGTATTAAAAGTACGTGTATAATCAAATATTAAATCTTGTAATTCTATTATGTTTGTCTTTTCAGATCTGTTCCTTACTACATTAGCAAGTTCCCAAAACATTCAGTTTGAAACATGGGTAAATAAGGTAAGGAATAAAATACAGCAAACATCTTATGCTAAAACGTATAGCTTTAAGAAATATAAAACAAAGAGGTCACCTGATACTGATTTCAAGAATAAACAGAGCTGACATTAAGAGATCGTAGCTGCACTGTTGCATTCAAACTGCTGAATATCCCTGGAGGAGATGATTCACTCAGCATCCGTTCCTCTGCAGGATTTTAGCATGACTGCCAATTAAACCAATCAGTCTGCCCTAATGCACATGTTAACAGGGCTCCTGTGGTGGTGTCAGCTGTTGTAAGAGGTTACTGTCATTTAATTTGTCAGCATGATGGTTTATGAAGAAAAAGATTTTCAAAGGAGTAATTTTTCCTTGTTGCCTCCAGTCTTGGATATTTTTAGTTTGATTTAAATGTGGCTAAAAAGATTTCAGGGCAGGATTAAAAGACTTTTGTGAGTGAGGTGACACACTTTTTTCCCTATCGAACGTGTCTCTAATTATAGATAGGAAACTCCCAAGTAGATATCACAGCACAACTCTGAGTATTGTGAAAAAAGGAAAAACAAACAAAAGGCATTAATCTTTTTCAGCAGGATGTCCATTTTTTGATTATCTGCTTTCAAGATGTTTCTATATTATTAAAAGCCATGATTCAATCCAAATTGGCTTGTAACAATTAATAAAAAGCCATTAGGTAGTATGAAATAAAAATGAAAGGTTTGAATAGGCAGTATTTAAGTAAAATATAATTGGATAATGTCATTACCATTGCTTTGTGCACAAAATGGCATGGAAATCTTGTGGAAATGCTACTCAATTCAGGCATTTTGCTGGGCCTGGAGGGAGTGGAACATGGAGAAAAAATCAATTGGGAATCAATCTGGTAAAGATAGACACTTCTAGAATGATGTGACAACATCTAAACATAGAAATATTGGGGTGTGAGGTTTTTGGGTGGGGACAGCGGGGTTAAGGAGATGCTGCTGCTGTAGTACAGCTTTAATGGAGATGTCTTAAATTGTTTTGGTAGCTTTACATTTTATTCATTCATGTTTAATAAAATGGCTGCAATACAGTGCCCTCCAGCCATGACTCAGGCCCTGACCCTACAACCAAGACTTGGAATAGTGCCATCATAGACTTCTTATGCCAGGAAGGTCCCTTGTACAGAGTACTCTCAGGGGGCTGTTTCTAGCTCCTTTACTCTGCCAGAACATCATTAAAGGGTATTAGTATAGATGAGACTCTAGATTCAGGATTATTACTGAGTTAAGACTAAAATCTTACCTTCCCATACAGCAACATGTGCTGCAGCCATGCTACCAAATCAAGCAGAGGTCACCTTTTATAGTTTATATTGTAAATTAAGGCTGTAATAGAAGCTGAGTAAGAAATCTATAAAATCTTAAGTACAATATATATTACATTGAACTTTCTTACAACGCCTTTTTTATAGATGCCTTGCTTAACATGTGCATTAGTGTGGGCAGGGAGATTAATTCACTATCACTTAAATTTATTGTGTAGTAAATTTTTAACACAGCTTTGCATCAAAATTATGCACCTTTTTCATCTAACCATAATTACCTTTACTTTATGTTGAAGAATGGTAAAATGGAGAGACTTGCAATGGTCAGTCAAGACTGTATATTTAACATTACTTAATAGTACTTACAATTAGTTTTTCCTAAAATACCAATAATATAAAGAACAATATGTGCCCCTTTAAGTCTTTAATGAAAAGTATAAAAGTATGGTTTTATGCACTTCAAGTATATTTGAATGCAGCTTTTGGTATAGAATGCATGTATTCTGTGTACACTGTTTGCTGATCAGTGAACCTCCTTATCTGTAGAAAAGATACAGGTGACACATGAAAGGCACATGGGATCACATGCCCCCTCAGATTTATGCATTCCATTTAGCAACAGCTTTGAGAGGTTTTTAAATTGTGGGGCCATCCTCTTAGGGGAGTACGGACGAACAGTTGGAGGTGGGAGTGGTGATACCAGGTGGCTCAGGGCAGCCCAGCGGGGCTTGGGAAGGAAACACCACCTCCACTTCCGACTCACTTCAGCAGGCCACTCAGCCTGTCTGGGTCGGGGAAGGGGGGTGCAATCAAAAATTGTAACTCAAAGCAGGGGCTCAGTTCAAAAAGTTTGAAATTGGCCATACACACACACACACCCCCGAACGTTCCTCCATGCCCCACAATTTGAAAACCTCTGTACTAAATAAAATGTGTTGTCCGCCATTACAGGATTTTTCCTCGCGTACCCCCTGACAAGAGCTTGCATACCCCCAGGGGTACGCGTACCCCAGTTTGAAAACCACTGTGATAAAGTATTGATGCCAGAGCTATATCCGGGATATTGTTTCCCACCACCACCGCAAATTCCTATCACTATAGTATTAGGAAAATGTCCTGAAATTAAACACAGGTACTGTGACATTTTGGAGAACACCCAGACTGGTAACGAGTTCTGTTACTCCCTGCCCTATAACTTCATGGTCCTTGGTGCTGTGCAGCTGCGATTCAAATCCCTGACACAGCCTAGTTACTGTTTGCAAGGTGACACCAACAACCCTTCCAGTCCCGAGTCTCCCCGAATCAGTCTTCCTGAGTTCTCAAGCTCTTCCTCTCTGGTGCAGCACCCCCCCAAAGATGTGAAACCAGTCCCCCTGTTATCAGTTTGCTTTGGCGCACACACTCCACACAGTTGACACATCAGATCTGCCTGGGATAAAAACAAACAAAAAGTTTATTCAATAGAAAAACCACAGATTTAAAGATGAAAGTGTAAGGGAAAGTAAACATATGCAGGTTACACAGAATATAAGCATAGACCCAACTTCAGGTTTTACACTTCCATAGTAGATAAAATCCCTTTTCTAATACAAGTTACCTGTTTCCTTGAACAGTTTCTTGGCATTCCTTCCTTGCTATAGTGGGGATCCTGCATTCATGGACAGCTTCCCGCCTAGAGGCTGTCCCTCCCTTAGTGGATAACAAACCTCACTCCCAAGCCTGTTTTTAAAAGGCTCTTTCCTTTGGTTTTCTTTTTTCGTTTGTTTGTTTGTTTGTTTGGTGGGGGGGAGGGTTTTTTTCTGTGGCATGGTGACTCATGGTAATTCAAAGTGGGAAAATTCTAGGGATGTCTCAATGTCTTCCCATTAACTCTAATATTCCATCATTGTCTTTTCCTGGCTGGACAATGGATGGGTGCTTGAAGTTGGTTTAATGTAAACAGTTGGCTTGGAAGGTGTCCCTCCTTGACTGACTGCTCCCCACCCTTCCTTGCTATGAACTTTGAGCACAGTTTTCTGTATACACAAATACATGTATACAGACCATGGTTATGAATTTATCTCTCATAATGACTATCAAGTTCAGAACATTACAAGCTTTCAGAAAAGATTTTACTAAATATATTTGTGTAGTACAATGACATAGTATACAATCAGTTGATTTAACTGTATATTTTGGGGTTTAAGCCTTCTGTTCCACTTCCAGGGTGTCTGGACTTTTTGTGGCTTCAATCAGTAAATATTTGTCATTGTGGGTGGAAAAACAAATGTCAGCTGTAGAAATCTGGCAGACAAGAATAAAAGAATTAAGAAAAATACAATGATTAACTGCATGTATTAAATTAGCTGAACTATTTCAGGAAAGATGGATGAAGTGCAATTAATTAAGGCCTTGTCTACACTGCCACTTTACAGCGCTGGAACTTTCTTACTCAGGGGTGTGAAAAAACACCCCCCTGAGCAATGCAAGTTTCAGTGCTATAAAGTGGCAGTGTAGACAGTGCACCAGCTCCCAGCGCTGGTAGCTACTCCTCTCATGGGGGTGGTTTTTTTTACAGTGCTGGGAGAGCTTGGTGCCGCGACTACACAGCCACATTAAAGTGCTGCTGCGGCAGTGCTTTAACGTTGGTAGTGAAGACATACCCTAATTAAAAAAGTAAAATAAAAAAATTATTAACTTATAATATGTAGATTTACTGTAGCTTATAACTTGTGCAGACATGTCTGCTGTATTCCTTTATTTGATGTCTGATACCTGTTTTAATATTTTCATAGTGAATTTTTTTCAACAAACCTGCTCATCGTTAATAAAAATCTTAAATTCAAAGTATGTCAAAACAGGTTGGTGCAAAGTGCTTTCCAAATTAGTGAGCTAAGCTGTAATACAGAGCTAATACCAACCTAGGTATTAGCTCTGTTTTATAAGGGGGACAAATAGAAGCAGAAATCAGTTATAACTTGACCATGATGTCTGAGTGGTGGGATAATGTGCTCTACTGGAGTGTGATTTTTAAAGCATAGTAACGTGCTGCACATTAATTGGTCTGTGTAGAGTCTGGTGGTGTGGTTTATCATAGTGCTGCTTGAAACAGCACTATGTTAAAGGTACACTAATGAAGCTTAGTATGGACCAGTAGGCTCTACACTGACCAATTAATGTGCAACAGATTATTGCACTTTAGAAATCACATCCCCAAAGAGTGTACAACCCCACTGTGTAGACAAGCCATTTTGAGAGCTATAATTCCACATCAATGTTCTGGTGACGGTACAAACCATTTGAGCTTTGCCCTCATGTTTTATGGTGTCACCAGACTTCTGAGGTGGATTTATATACTCATAATTCAGTTCACTATCTCTACATACAGAGCTATGTAACATATTTAATAAATGTCATTTTTTATTTTATAAGCAAACTGCCATGCTTTGATGGAATTGTCCAGTCCAGTAAAAGATTGGTTCTGACTTATTTGCATTGTGGACTAGTTCTGTTTTAATTATGGATTTTAGAATGCTACAGACTACAAAGTTTTAGACAAGAAAAATGTTATTTACAAGTTACCTACAGAAAAACGAACCACCTTCCCCTCTACCTGAAAACCAGCATCCACTGTTGAATGGCTAGTAGAATAAAATGCATAATACCTCTTTTAAATACTACAGTCTTTAGTTGGAATAAACAATTGCATGGTTCAAAAGTGAGAATATTTTACATGTAATTAAAACTCCAGTAAATAAATATTTGTAGTTAAATTATTATCACATATATTGATTGGCTTCTGTTCTAGATGTTGGGAAGAATTGGAGATAATGATTTATAAGAAGAAGAAAAATATAAATAATTTAAAATATGTTTTCATTAGTGCAGTCCATGCATATGTATGTAGACATTTCTTTCTAAGCTTAAAATATAATTTTTTTTGGATAAAATATAACTTTTGGCCTACTGAAAACCTAGATTCAATAACTCAAATCTGTGTCTTTGAGTAGAATTAGAGTATTCCAGAAACATAAATTTTTACTGTTTCAGGAACTAAGTATTTTCTTCCTTTTAATCTGAAATACATTTCTGTCTCTGTCATCAAGGGATCAAAGGTGACATAAGAATTCAGTGTTTGGAAGGCCTTATTTTATGTTCTCAGTGCAAATGGCTGCAGTCTAACTACCACATAAATAAAAACCACATGCAGCATTTATAGGGGACTCAAATGTAAAATCTAAATGTACTCAAGTCAGTTAAGAAGAACAATTTGGATACTGGATCCTTCAGAGACTGTAAGACATAATACATGTTTCTGAATAAAGATAACAATTATTCAGAATTGAAACTTCCTCTGAAACAAAGTATATTCTTCCTTTGATCTACCATAAAATGCTTTAGAGGTATTGGCCTTTATCTTTCTTTTCTGGTCACTTGACATAGGGCCTAGTCCTCGTTACTGCAATGAGATAACTAGCATTAGTTATAAGGATTACAGAGTCAGCTCTGCTGTCAGATAATTCTACTGGAGCTGTTCATGGATAACAATATGAGCTTAACAGTTTTGGGGAAATCACTCTGTTTTTGCATCCATATTGATTAATTTGTCCTCTGAGCCACAGATTATACTCCAAGAAAAAAATTAGCTATAATCAAATGTCAAGGGAAAACTATCCCAAAGAAACCTCATCTAGGGAGCTAAGTCTATAAATCTAAATAGCGTATGAGTTAGAAAAATATGGACAATCTTCAAAATACAAATAATCTGAAAAGTAACAATAGAGATCTGACTCAGTTTTAATCCCTCCTGTAAAACTAGTTCTATGGATATACCTTTCAAACAGATAACCTGTTATTAAAAGGGAGATCAGTCAGATAAATTGTGTGAGTGTAATAAAGATCAACCTAAAATAGTAAGTGGTAGAGCTTTTTATATTCTTCTTAAAATACCATAAAAATATTTTAAATCTCTCAGAAGTCCACATGCCATCAATAAGTCAGCTTGTGTGTAGGGAATGGGTCCAGGAGGTACCAAGGACCTGACATCAGCTCCAGGGGAAAAAGGGGAAGTGTGTTCTTGGGTGACAACAGTAGATTTGAGGGGCTGATTGAACGAGGTTGGAGGGAGGAAGAAGAAGAGGACAAAAAACTTTGGAGTATGTCTTAAGATAGCTCTCCAACAGATGTTTGGATGAGGTACTTGAATCACAGCAGATACATGTACATTACCATATTGATTTGATTGGGTGAAGAACCAATGTCAGCCACCGCAATGGAGGGGTACACTAGTGAAGAAAATGTATGATAGTGGCTAGTACTTATACCACTATAGTGTTATTTTCCATATGAATTCATAAGATGCATCTATTTACATATTCTTAGGTCTCATTTCAGTTTTGTCAGTTTCCATCATAAATTTATATAAATATTTTTAGAGTTTACAATTTGACATAAATGAGTTCTGCACTGAAACTGCATACATAGCACCAGGGCCGGCGCTACCATTTTTGCCACCCCAAGCAAAAAGAAAAAAAAAAGCCACTTGGAGTGCCTCCCGAACTGCCAAAGACCAAAAAAAAAAAAAAAAAAAAAACACAGGGAGAACCCCAACAAAAAAAAAAAAAAAAAAAAAAAAAAAAAAAAGCCGCTCGGAGTGCCGCCGCCTGAACTGCCAAAGCAAAAAAACAAAACAAAACAAAAGCCGCCCGGACTGTGCCCAAGAATGGACGGAATGCTGCCCCTTAGCATGTGCCGCCCCAGGCACGTGCTTCCTCCGCTGGTGCCTGGAGCCGGCCCTGTGTAGCACTGCGTGCCATTGATTGAGAGCACATAAATGTTCTGATCTGATCATCTAATTAGATGTAACAGGTGCTTTTGTTGTTATATAACACTGAAGGAATTGTAACATGAGAGTAATGTATAAAGTGTGGTTTAAGTATGAAACACTCCCTGGGGTTTTTTAGTAGTAACCTTTTTTTTAATTTATTAATAGAACAAAAATACACAGGAGGCTAAAACACAAAAACGGTCCAAATAAGTGATGGTCAAATTTGAACATAAATTATAACTGAGAAAACTCTGAATCAATAGGAGGAACTCTTAATTTTATTATTCCTAAATTTCCAAAATATATATTTCAGATTTGATGAAATGTTAAATATTTCATGATGTTTTTGCAGTTGTTTTCTGAGATGTCACACCTGTTGCATTTTGACTCAAGATATTAATTAATATATTGCATTTTACAGGTTTCAAGTACTCAAGTGAGCATAACTCCCTGTAAAGTGATTGGAGCACTGGGCCTCAGATCTTTTTTTATTTAATTAAAAATGTACCATTTTTTGTTCAACAGCTGGGGCCTGACCCTGCACTATACCTAGTGTCCTCCGCTCCTGTTATTTCAGCGGGACTGGAAAGAGGCTCTGCACTTTGCAGGATCAGGTTTTAATTCATAATATGGTGTTGAAATAAGCCCTGCTCAGCACTAGTATAATCAGAATAATCTGGAAGGTAATTTCTATATTAATAGAGTAATTTAATAAATTGTAAGTCTTACTTCATTACATTGTTTTAAATAGTTAGACACCTTTATCGTATGATTATGCCAATGAAGTAACTAAATCTTTTCCTACAAACAGATCCCAATGTGCATACACCTATTCATTCATGGAGTCTTGTTGACTTCTGTGAGATTCCGTGCAGGACTAAGGGTCTGCACATCAGATTTGTTTGGCAGGTCAGGCTCCAGTATTCCAAACAGTGCAAGTTTTCCCAGTTAAAAGACAGTTTTTCACCTATTAATCCTTTTTTTAAAAGCTATTTTTAGTCTTTAGTTTACACTTCAAATTTTCATTGCTTTGTTTACAGTTCATTAGTGTAATTTTGTATGGTGTATGTTTATTGTATTTGATAGGATGGGAATTTCTCCAGAGTCACATACATAAAGCAAAAACCTGAAGACACGGTGGTTGTTGGACAATCAGTGTTTGCCGATTTTGGTGAGATTCATCTTTTTTTCTACCCACTAAGCTATCTGACACTTGCATATTTATTTTTATTATTAATTAGTTATATTTATCTAGAATTTTTTTTTTTTTTTTTGTAATCATGTTAATCTTTTGCTCAACAGATTGCAATGGTTCCTTTGCAGGCATCATAGTCATGTAAATACATACTACATCCGTGGTTCCCAAATTTTAATAACCTGCGAACCCTTTCACTAAAATGTCGTCAGTTTTTTAATCAGTGATTCAGGTAATGCACATATTAAATAGGATAAACACACAAGTTATTCTCTGGAACTAGATGATTTCTTTAGATAGTGCTTTGTCCCACAGCAGTAACTAGCAGTTTTATGGGCCTGATTCTGCAAACGCTACTGCACATTAGTGGATTTACTTGTGATAGTTAGTTTTACCCTCATTAATGAGTATTCGCAGGATTGAGCCCTTATTTAGATGTTGTGATATGGTTGCTCTGATGTGTGGTACAGCAATTTTTGCCTTAAATATAGTGATGCTCTTGAGGGAGTAAGAAGGGAGCCAATATTAGAGGCAGAAGATTCATCTTGTTTTATGCTGATACTTAAAAAATCCTCAAGATTTTTAGCACAGTTTAGTTTGACCTTTAAAGATCACCTCTCCTGGGTGACTGAATTTTGCTGGTCTGTGGTATGGCTGCTGAATACAGGATTCATGTATAGTATAACAGAGTAAAGTATAAGTTCAATGACATTTAGAGGTTATGCTAAGAAATTTTATTTAATGTATTGTGCAAAAGTCATTAAAAATTAAAGTTTTAATTAAAATTTAGGCCATCTACAAATATTTGCATATTGTGTGGTTTGAAAGAAAGAACAGAACCTCAAAATATTCCGAAATGCTTTTTATCCATGCTTTCACGGTTTTGTATTGCCCTGATGTACATGGCTGTTAATCATTCCAAAAAGCAGATGGTTTTGATTGATGCCCTGAATATTAATAGGCACAAAGTATATGTCAGCTTTCTTTTGAAAGATGTAAATCCTAAGGAGCAATCTGCAATAGGATTTCTCCTTACCATGTGTTGTAGCAAACAGAAGTGACTTAATATGGCCAAAGGATGCATCATAATTTTAGAAACTTTGTCGTATTTGATAGACATTTAAATTAACTTAGATACCAGGATATCTGGGATCTTGAACATTCTTAAATTATTCTGATTTTGTGAGCATATTTTTTAGGAAATATAATAAATATGTTTATCTAACATGTTGAGTGAAGAATCAAAATTTAGATGTTAGATATTAAACCACAGTGTAAATGCAGAATTTGGTTCTAATTACTATCAAAAAGCTTTGTAGATTTTCATATTCCCTTTGTTGTAGAGACAAACTGAAAAGTTACTTTTCACATACTGTAGTCCCAGAGAAGGCTCAGGGATAGTTTCAGCTTCTGATAATTTGAACATGATTATGAAACAACATAACATGTTATATTGTTTTAGGCTCTTTTGATATAGCTAGGTTGAGAGGACAGAAAAAGTGAGAAGTTTCTTGCTTGGTTTTGTAAAAGAAATAAATAGTTTAAATCCTTTTTGATTTGAGAGAGACAGCTTAAGGTTCCTTGGACATTTTGTTCTCTGAAAAGATTATACCAGTGAAGTTGCAATGTACAGAGTCTAAAAGCAAACTGACTTTCAGAAATGTGTGTTCTGTTGTTTTTCCTCTGGAAACTAAAACAGAACTCTTAAAAGCATAATTATTTTTTCTTCTCTTTGATCTTTCTGTGGCTAATCTAAATCAATATTTTAGTAAATTAAAAGTTGAGTAGATAAAATATCTGAAAGATAACAAAGAAAAACCTGACCAGAAGGATTTAATTTACAACAGTCCTTAATAATATATGACTTTAACCACTGTAGAGACATTCCAGATATGTGAAAACTGACCATCTCAAACTGTTGATTCAAAGAGACAGTGGTATTGCTATATGGTATTTAATCAAATACAGAAGTATGGCATTAAATAAACATTGCTTGTAGATGAACTAACCAAAGTCAGGAAATATAAAGGCTAAGGTGAACAGAAAACTGTTTAATACAAAATAGTAGTTGATCAGGATATGCAGGTGAATGAGACACAAACTCGGGATGGATATTAAAGCAGAGGCCACAACTTATTAATTAATTTTAATTGGAATAACAATGGGAGTGAGTGCAGTCTCCTTGTCTCCCCTCCCATCAATACCAGACACCTTAACGGAGTCCAGCATGGGATTAAATGGCCTTTTTCCATATAACCAATAAATCAGGGTTGACATCCTTCAACCTAACTCACTGGACTCAGACCACCTCTGAATTCTCTTGTCCCACAATGGGGAATGAGGATACATCAATCTGCGAAGACTTAAGGTGTCCACCCTTCTCCTTACAAGCTGGTAGGAACACCAGCCATATCCTATGTCTTCATTCACGTTTACCCCAGGAGTTGGCCCTTTCAGACGTCTATCCACATTGGACACTGGCTGCAAGCTGAGATGAATTAAGACATTCCCATTTTAATTTCCAACATTACATTTCTATTCCTTAAATCTAAACCTGGGCTCCTAGGGTTGCAGAGAAAGCTCTCCTCCCTCCCCCGAAATGCATTCTAAGGCAGGAAGAGAAGTGCAGTGAGGGAAAGGCTGCAGTGTGATTGAATATACATGCTCCCCACCATACCCCCATCAGGTCCCCAAGCATGGACCATTCTCCTACTGATCAGGTCAAACTTCCTCACTCCTCCACTGAGATGGTGGGCAGAGGGGCATTGTTCCCCCTCCATATGTTGGGAATTTTCTTTGCACTTTACATTGCTAGAACTCATATATTCTCCAAAAAGCTGCATATACAGTATGCACAGAGCTTTCTGAACTCATATCTTTGCCAACTGGAAACAAAAATTTCATTTTTTTTAAAAGATTTAAAAGTATGTATTAACCTGTAAGTTTAAGGTCTCTCAGTCAGTTAATGATTTTAGACCTTTAAACACTTTTTTTCTAAAATTTGTTTAGAAAAGCACTTAAGGCTAAAACTCCAACCTTAACCTTTATCTTTGTGCAAGAGATTTCCATATTCTAGCAAACTTTACACTGGCAATACCTTGGCACAGTCATTGAAGGGAAGGCTATAACTATAAACTTAATTCTAAACTTCCCATTTTCTTGTTGTTTTTGTTTGGGATTAAGTGCTTTTTTTTTGTCTAACATTTATTTTTGTTTCCATTTGGCTAAAACTATGTACAAAAATTTAAATAGAATGGGAAGCTGAAAAAGTTCAAGTCTGGTGTAACAAGTAAATAATTGTGAAATACATTCACCTGATTAAATGTAACAGAGTTTTTGGGGAATTAATATCTGTAGTGCAAGTACAAATTTAGATACTTTAATGTTATACATGTATCCTATCAGTTTTATCTGCAGTAGGGAGACTTATTGAAGCTGTGTAGTAAAAATCCTTATTAGAAATAGTTATTGTACATACACAGTAGCTCTCTTTCAAAGTAAAATATCCTAAGTTTTCAGTTTTGTTTCTGCTTAGAATCTCATGTTGCTTAATTGAGGAATTCTTCAGATATTCATGTTCAAGACTGTCTTAAACTTCTAAGCTCTTTGTTCAATGTGGATGGGATAAAGTTGCAAATAAAACCAAAATGGTGGTTTTGGTGTTGTGTGTGTTTTGGTTGGTTGGTTTTTTAAAGGAGTGACGGTTGAGTTAAATTTCTAAAACATATGCAAGTTCTGTGCAACTATGGAAAAAGTAGAGCTTTAGACTAGAGTATATATATTTTTTATAAACAACTAACATGTAAAAAAGATGAAGGGTATGTGTTTACACATCAGGAAGAGGGCACACCATTGTGTTCTGGAGTGTACCGTTGTTTTGCTTATTTAATATAGGGTTGAAATTTGAGAAGTGTTCCCTGGTGCACACTATCATTTGAATCCCTTAGAAGTATGGTGGAGTAGTATATGCTGTCCAAATCAAAACTGAGCACTAACAGACAGTCTTTTCTGCTGTCTTAATCATCAAATAGCAAAGATGGCAACTTGTTACCACTAACACTTATAATTTGTTTTGCTGAAATGGAAATCAGTAACGTGGATTACTTGATTTCAGGGTACAATACTATCTGTAAAACAGAATAAAGCTACACCTACCAGATTTGTGAAATACACTAGTTAGTGTGATGGTACAGTTCACAAGAAAAAGGAACATATATAATCAGGTTTTATCCCAATAGTAAATTAAGACTAACTTCATCTTCAGTATAAAAATGGTGGTGGGGGGGAAATGACTTTCTGCATCCAAAGCTCAATTGTGTTTTTAAAGAAACAAAAAAAAATGGGCATTCAAAAAAGAAAGCGTAGAGCTTTTCTGCAGTCCAGAGTCAAACAAGGAACGTAAAGCTCTTGACCTCCCTTCCTGCTTCTTTTAAATACCCCACTATTTGTGGAATTAGGTATTATTGCCAACTAGACTTGTTAACATTCCTTCATGGTGCTCCTGCTGATTTACCAACCCTTTTTAATGGATTGCCGGGTTTTATGGCTCTTGAACGTGGGATTTAACTATCACTGCCATATACTTAGTTGGATCCACCCATACAAGTTTTCCTCAAATCAGACATTAACAACTTAAGAATCATTGGTACACCTGAATGCATAGAATCTGGAGCATTGTTACTGTTCATGGCAAATGACATTCTTATATTCCCCATGTCGGAGAAAAACACAGTTCTCACTTTTTGTTTGGGTACAGCAAGTCAGATGCTTTATTTTCTCTCTATCAATTGCATAGAGGGAGAGAGCTAAGCAGGTCTCTCAACAGGTAAACAATTACAGCAAGCATTTATACCTTTTGTTACAGACAATAATGAGCAACAGCTGCATTTTGTTTATACATAGGTCATTCTGATATCTTGTTTTGCTCACTAATGTAGACTCTTAGTCTACATTCCATATTATCTACACAAGGTCGC